ATTGTTCGTGCAGTACAGGAAATTAATTATGATTTATTTTTTTTTTACAGCTGACCGTGAGCGTTTGTTCAGCTTGTTTGTATTTGGGACAATCCCCAGGTTTACAAAGTAAACTTCTAAAGGATACTCCACCTGATCTTCAGCCTAATTCTTCAGTAGGGATTTGCGTTTATGGTTGGTTAATGAGCAGCCTAGGTTTATGATGTTGAAGGAGGGGAGAAGTCTGAAGCAGGAAATAATACTTCAATGCTTCAAATAAGCAAACTGCATGATGTGGGTTTGGCCATTTCCTAGCGCTGAGACATCACTAATAACCTTGAATGCAAATTTGCTAATGAAGAGGTGAGCTGGGCTTTTTCTTCTAGAGGTGTATCGGTGTAAAAGAGCAAGGAACAGGTTGTAGAAGAGAAGGCTGCTCTTGGCTGCGTTTGTAAAACAGTTCTGTGGAGGTATTTTTAAATTAGTGGATTTGGGACTTTCTTGAACCAAATCTGTTAGAAAAACTGCTGTTTGTTGTGTTTTGTTTCAGTGAAGCACAGGGGGAAACTCAGCCTTTGGGATATTTTTTTTTCTCTTCCCTTCTCTCCCCATTCCATTTTGCTAAATTTTCTGTCCCCATATTGCGATGACCTTCCTCGTTTTCTTTTGGCAAAGTACCTCAGGATGTGGATTTCTCTCCTACTTGAAGCTGATGGAGCAAAGTGTACTCAATACTTAACAAAATAAATACCACTGGTGAAAGAGCCCGGGGGGAACAAGCGCCGGTCACGCTCTTCCCTTGGCCTGGCTCAGTCTTCTCCATCTGAATTGAGACTCTTATTGCCTTTTTCATGTGAGTGTATGTCTTTATGTTCCTGGCAGAGGGAATTCTTCAAAATTGGGAAATAAACCCAGGCGTGGTGATAACTCTGTGTGGTGTGTGATGCAGATGGAGCTCTGGCTGGAGAACTGCGCTGAAGCACCAGCTGGCTCTGACAGTCTCTGTAAAGCCAGGCAAGAGATGGCAGGGTTTGAAATGACAGAAAGGGGATGAAATGTAAGGTCAGTTCCCAACCTGGGACAGGCGCAGAGGGGTGTCACAGGAGATGACTGTCACCTTTTACTGCTCTGCTCTGATTTGGTTTTTCTGTCCGGACTTGGAAGGATTTCTGCACTGAGGCTTCTTGACCCTTGACAAGGGCTGCTACTTAATTTTACAGAATAACTGTGTTGTATCTACATATAGCTTCTTTTTTCACTCTTTTCATTCTTTGAGGCATCTGGCATAGCCATGGGTCTCTTCCAGAGTAATGAAAAAGTGTCTATGTCGCAGGAAGACGAGTGTGGATTAATTCCTGCTTTGCATCAATTTGCTTTGGTTCTGACCCTCCTGCTTCCCGGCTTCGCTTTGCTGTCGTGCTTCTTCTGACCCTTTTTGTCTGCACATGTGTGTGACAGTTCTTGGGCCATATCCCTTGGAGCTGGCCTCTTGGTTTAGTCGTTGGCACCATGTGGAGCCTGGTGTACTGCTTCACTTCTCCAGTCTGGGAGATGATCCGGTGCCCTTCTGAGAAAAAGCACTCATGATGCCAAGATGGAAGGGACCTAAAAAAGCATCCAGTGCCAACCCCTGCCCTGGGCAGGGACATCTCCCACCAGACCAGGTTGCTCCAAGCCCCTTCCAACCTGGCCTTGAACCCCTCCAGGGATGGGGCAGCCACAGCTTCTCGGGGCAACCCGGGCCAGGCTCTCACCCCCCTCACACCAAACAAGTTCTTCCCCACATCTCAGCTCCATCTCCCCTCTTGCAGGGTCAAACCCTTCCCCCTCCTCCTAGGGCTCCCCTCCCTGATCCAGAGTCCCTCCCCATCTCTCCTGGAGCCCCTTGAGGGCCTGGAAGGAGCTCCAAGGTCTCCCCGGAGCCTTCTCTTCTCCAGATATGTAAGACAAGATGAGAACAGATCTAGAGGGGCAAAGGGGCAACACTGTTACCTGTCCTGGAGCTGCAGGAAAGGAAGGGACCTGGGCAGGATCCTTCTCAGCCTCCTTCACAGAATCTCTGGAGACCTGAGTGCTCTTCTAATGCAAACTTGTGGAACTGTACTCTTGATATCCATGTCTTGGAACTCAATGTTTTCATGATGTGCTAAGTATGCCAGGAAGAATACCCTGGCATAGGTGTAGAGAAGCGGGGGTCAGTCTCGTCTTCCAAGTCACAGGAGATAGGACAAGGGGAAATGGCCTCAAGTTGCACCAGGGGAAGTTTAGATTGGTTTTTAGGAAAAATTTCTTCACAGAAAGGGTTATCCAGCATTGGAATAGGCTGCCCAGGGAAGTGGTTGAGGCACCATCCCCGGAGGTGTTCAAAAGACGGGTTGACATGGTCCTCAGGAATATGGTTTAGTGATTTTTTTATTGCTTATTTCTCATTTATTTTTTGTCAGAGTTAGGTAGATGGTTGGACTAGCTGATCTTTAAGGTCCCTTCCAACCTAGATGATTCTATGATTCTATGATTTTGTCTCTCATGTTTCTGATAGCTGGTGTTCCCCTACACCTTAGCAGTCCAAGGCCACCGCCAATATAGGGGCTGGCAGCCCTGGCAAGAAGAAACAGGGACCAGAGATGCTGCTGAGCACCATGTACCTTTAGGGGAGAGGGAGCAGAGTGCCTTTTCCTACTGACACTCCCGTTTGTGTGACTCCTGGGACACAGGGTCCAGCTCTCAGAGAGGGGTTTGCCTGGGGTGCAGCCACTGATACTGCAGAAATACCTTTTTAACTTTTTTCTTCCCTACCCCACTTTCCCCTGCATTTGGCATTTTTCTTTGTGCTCGGAGGCAAGCTCAGGATTGACTGAGTCCAAGTGAAATGAAATTTGGTTCACGAGCTAGTTTCTGAAATGAGAATAAGTCAGCTTTGAAGTGCAAAGTGGAATAACTCCAGAAAAAAGAAGAGTTGTTTATTGTAGGCATGGGTTTGGGTTGCTTTGCATCAAGGAGATTGCTTGGGGGGTAGTGGTTTCTTTTTTTTCTGGTGGCACCGACACAGCTCCCATCAAAGTGAATGAGGGCACGTCCAGGAGATGAGAGTTTAACCCACGCACCCCACCAAGGGAGCAAAGTGCTTCCCGAGTCCAACGGGACGGCCTCATCACCAAGTGAGATGCTGCCAGTAGAGCCAACCTACCACTGGGGTCACCTAAACAAGCCATCGGAGTGCATTAGTGCAATTTAAAATGATTATTTCACTTCCAATTCATCCCAGCCTGGAAATGAAGGGGACTATTAAAGGAGTGAGGTGCAATATAGAACAGCAAATAAAAGCCGATGCCCTCGTTTCCTTCCCAGGGTCTGCCTTTAACTCTGTTTTTCAGAGGAACTTTAGTTGGTGGTGTTTCAATGTAAATGGAAGGTGATGAGTTAGAATCATAGAATCGCTCAGGTTGGAAAAGACCCTTGGGATCATCAAGTCCAACCATCTACAAAGTTCTCCCCTACACCATGTCCCCCAACACACATCCAAACAACTCTTAAACACATCCAGGGATGGTGACCCAACCACCTCAGCTTTCTGCAGCTTTATTGTAGCCTGCAGAAAGGAGGAGCAGCTCCATGGAAAGGGATCTAATACGGTGGCTGAGACTTTGGTGCTTAAAACGAGCTCTCAGGCTGTTAAACAACTTGGATTTTCATTCTAAAAGTTAGTTGTGAAGTCGATGCAGTCCCCCTGTGATCAAATACTAAGTTAGCAGCGTGAACACTGCTTTTTTTTTTTAATTCAGAATGCTTGTGTGGATCTTTTTGGGTACATCTTCTAATGAATGATTTGAATGCATTATATCTTGACTTTTTCTTGGTAACATCCATTTTTTTCCCCGTGATTTTATTTTAAACAGGAAACAGGTTTTGTTGTTGGCTGTAGAAATGCAGGGATTCTTACACCGGTGTCTCAAAACCCTTGAGTAGCAATTTATTATTTTTCAGGAAGAGTCGCAACTTTAGTACTTTTGAGTAGAGACGTGAACTCCATTGGAAATGGCTGGGATGGGTGGATTTGCAGCTGGGGAGTTGCTGATGGGAGCTGGGTCATCAGCTGGGAAACAGAGCCGGAACGGAGGGTCGGGAGGTTCCGGAAAGAGGGGTCATGGGTTTGGAAGTGGGGCCAGGAGTGTGGTCATACGATGGGAAGTGTATTGTGGGCCAAAATCTAAAAAAGCCTGGGAGTTAGGTCAATGTCAAAAATAACTCAGAGACAATTGTAAAACTAGTGAGGTAGAAGTAATGGGACTGTAACTATGAACCAAGAAATAAATCTTAAGAAATTTAAAGAGACCATAATTTGTACTGGAGGTGTCCTTTATTGGGGGTTTCCATCCACATTGGTTAGAAACAGCAAATAACCAGTTGCCTGGGGAGCCGTACTGGATTTTGACACGCTCGTCCTTCTGCGTGGAAGTTGAGGAGGCGCTGATTTACCTGTTTGTGGTCATCCAAGGAGATTCTGAGGGGTGATACAGGACTTGATTCTCTTGTTTGAGGTATTCAAGTAGGGGGGAAAAACAAATCCTTTGGGAGTGAAGAAGTGAAATTGCCTGGGTTTTTCGCTACTTAGCAGTACCTTTTAAACACCTTTGCTTTGGAATTTAAGCGAGAGTTTGCATTGATGTTTATTTGGGCTCCCAGGTTGTCTCCAAGGTGTCTTTAAAGAGGCTGGACCCTCTTCTCTGCTCCAGGGAAGAGCTCCTGTGTGGCTCGCTTCAGGGAGATGCCCGTGGGCGAGGGGAGCAGGAGGAGGAGGAGGAGGAGGAGAGTGGTGTGCCGATTGGGAGACAGCCTTTTTCTAAAAATACAACCTTATTTTTCCTGTTAAATGGCTGGTGCTGAGAGGGTTTTTTAGATGAGCTATTTTTAAAGAGATAATGTATCCACTAAGGATGTCATTATGTATTGCAAGAGTTTTAATATAAACTGTTTACATATTGATCTTGTCAATTAAGCTGTTTCTTCCTTATCTTCAACAGGCAGCCAGATAAACTAGTGGTGGTTTGGACAAGAAGAAGCCGAAGAAAATCCTCTAAGGTTAGTTGATTGCTTAATAAGTCCCAACTTCAGTGACAAGGAGGGGCAGCTGTTTGAGGGAATGGTTTCTAGATTGCGGGGATCAGACAAATAAATAAGAAATGGTTTAATTATTTTTCTTTTCCTTGTAACTCAGTTTAGCCATAAAATTCAGAACAAGCTGCTGTTGATGTCAAGATTAATTTGTGGATACGTTTACCTCTGATTTCATCTTCGGTTATTTGTTTAGCAGAAGTGTATCATCATGAGTTCAATTTCAGTTATTAATTGCTAGACCTAAATAGAAAGGAGAATCTGTTTCACTACTAGAAGTGTATTAAACATAATAATAAAAAAAATGTAATAAAGAATCTGACATTATTGTAATAGGAAGATACAGTCAGAAGAAGAGGCTATTTCACAGCTAGAAAATACTACGAATCAAAAAGAATAAACACAGGCTCTTTCAGCCAGTAGCGTATATTTGAATTAAATTTTAACATTTTACTTCCACAAACACTGTGAGGAAGCCTGTGAATTTGTCTTTTATGGCTGATGACTTGGAGATTCCCTTTCCTCAGGCTACCAAGTGGCACCTGTCCAGTACTTGGGCCCTTCATAAAGCTTTTCTTGCCTGCGTTTAGGTTTCTGGGCATGTAAAAGTTTGCAAGCAGAGTAGCCCTCTCTTCTGTGGGCTTCCCCTTACTTTTTTGCCTGCAGTGAGAAACCTGGAAGCCTTATGAGAAATTACTGGCTCTTTTGTTAAATGGGGCTCAGTTTGTCTAGACCCTCTGAGTTCTGCTGCTCTGACAGCGAGATGCAGTTGGAGCCTCCTTTGGGTCCGGGGCGGAGGGAAAGGCGAGACGCTCCGGGTGTGTGGCTTGGTTTTCGTAGAAAATGAAGCTTAAAAAAAACCAACCCACAACATTTTCCATTTACACCGCGATTGAAACAAAGAGCAAGCGTTTCTAAACCTCTGCAGTGTCTGAGATGACAGTGTCTTGTACGGTATTGTATTATTGACTTTTTTTTAAAATATATTAAAAAAATATAGAATAAAATATATTACTTTACTCTTATTAAAGAGTAAAATCTTTTCTCAATCTTAGCAGCCAGTTATTGTTGCCCAGGGAGCTGGGGAGCCTATTTCATGCACCCAGCAGGCAAGCAAAGGTCTTGCTGGTGGTCAAAGCTGGTGGTGTTGCAGGATTTCTTTTGTTGCCTTGTGTCCTCTGGGGTAGGGCTCTCTCCCATCTGCCCAAACGCTCGAGATGGGCAACAGAAATGAGCTGGGGAGAAGAAATGTCCTCACCTCTGGGCAGGTTTTGGGGGGGAAAGAGTGTGTACTGGTTTCCTGCCTTCCCAGGAGCATGTTCTCCTCAGGATAACTCAGTCACGCTCGCTCATTCCCTCTTCCCACAGCAGTTGCCTCTTACACTCTTTGCCAAGTGGTCTTGTCCAGAGGGGAAGTTTTGGAACTCAGCCTTTTAATAATTCTTTAAAACTTCAGTTAAAACTTCTGATGGTCTAAGGTCCTTTTTTTTTTTTTTTTTGATGTATTTATGTAACTCAAAATGATACTTCCAAGAACTGTGGGATGGTGGAGAGAGGGCACCCACGATAGAGAAGTTATCTTGAAAAAATTGTGTGTTGAAAAACTGAAATGTTTGGAAAATATGATATATGGTTTCCTTCCCTACTCAAGAGAGACTTTTGCCGTTTTTTACTGGTACTCCTCTTTTTCTGTCATGCATATTTGCTGTATTTTGTCTTTTAACTTGAGAACTAAGCTATTCTAGCCTGTTTTATCTAAAGACTGGTTACTGACTGAAAGTGCCTGCACAACCAAATGCCTACTCCAGTGTGTGCGTCCTGAATTCTGCTTTAGGGTAAGAAAACCTGTAGGTGTGACCTGGTGAGTAAACAAGGGTGCGAACTTAGTCTGGCACCTTTGTCAAGATAACTGCTCCTGTTCCATGTTCATGCTCTTCAGCAAAGCCAGTTGGACTATTGCTCTTCCACTGATAGCTCAGGTTGCCTTGAATTTACAGCATGGTGTGTGTCTAGGCAGCAAGATGTATGCTGATGTATGGAGTCTTGTGGCTTACCATGTTTCTATTTTAGTTTTGTTTAATTTCTGTAGAACAGAGAGAGAAAAGATAATATAGAACAGTAAATTCAATACTTATGCAAGCACCGTAACCCTGAAATCTTGGTGAAAAGCAAGGTATCTGGCCATGAAGAACTGGTTTGTGGAGGCTCAGAATATGTTCAGAAACAGAAGCCCTAACAAAAGTCTAGTGGGGCTTTGTGAAGTGATGGGTTTCTGCCTGTAGTCTTATGGGCGTGATGCCATAGGATCCAGTGGCAACACTTCACTGAGGCTAGAGGATGTTCTGTCACTAGCTCAACTTTTTGGGCTTCAAGATTTTTTGGCTGGGCCATAAATTTCCAGGATGTGTCCTCCCGTGAGTGCCCTCCCTTTTGGTTACCAGGCAGTAGAAGCAACTCTTGGATGAGCTGGCAGATTTGCCTGAGACTCAGAAAAGTCTTTTGGTAACTGATTAATTCATGCTCACTAAGATCCCACAAAAGTACTTTGGAAGAGGCTGAGTGGCCCTGAGGCCTGGGCAGAGGACAGAGTTAATTTTAAAGCTTAGGTAGTTGATATGATTTGAGCTGTTCGGTTCCAAGACTGTAGATCAATAAGTGTTCTTGATCTCTTAGTCATCCTGCCAGTAAAATACTTTGTTCAACATATTTGTTTCATCTAATTGCTTTCTTGGAAGAAAGTCAAATGAAAATTTCCTCTTATTTTATTTTTGATGGACAGTGGGCTCAGTGGGTACAAAGCATTAATAATTTTCTATGTTTCTCAGCTTCTTTGAGAAGGCGGAGGAGAGGGATGTGGTCTTACCTTACTGTAAAGATGTTGTAAAGACTTCTTTGGAGGTTATGATTTCTCTTCTGAACTTTCCAGTTCGTTAGGGGTAATATGATCTGTTAGTTCAGGATCACAGAATGGTTGAGGTTGGAAGAGATCTCTGGAGGTCAGCCCGTCTGACCCCTCCTCTTAAGCAGGGCCACCTAAAGGTGGTTGCCCAGGACTGTGTGCAGATGGCTTTTGACTACCTCCAAGACAGGAGACTCTACAATCTCTGAGGGCAACTTGTGCCAGTGCTCGGTCACACTCACAGTGAAAAAGTGTTTCCTTGTGTTCAGAGTGAACCTGATGTTTCACTTCGTCCCTCCTGCCTCTTGTCCTGTCACTGGGCACTGCTGAGGAGAGCCTGGCTTGGTCTTCTTTGCACCCCCACTTCAGGTATTTATATACATCTGTAAAATACACCTGAGCCTTCTCTCTTCTGGGCCAAACGGTCCCAGCTCTCTCAGCTTTTCCTCCTGTGAGAGGTGATCCAGTCCCTTAAACATTTTCATAGCCCTTTTCTGGACTATCTCCAGTAGCTCCATGTACTGGGAAAGTACAAGAGATAGGTCATCCAAAAATGTGGTGCAACTTGGAAGATGGTGTGATGGTGCTGTGGATGTGTACTGAAACTGGCCTGCTTAACTAACCCTAAGGTACTGTTGAGCTGAAAGCTGAGTTCTTTGAAGCCCTTATTTTTGTGGTTTTCTATAATTTTGGTAGGCCTTCTGGCCCACATACTTGCTTTCCAAGGCAGCTACTAGAGCGGTCCCTCAATTAGAAGACATCGTGGGAGACGTCATGTGCAGGAGCTTGAATATTTTAGTTGTTACTGTGGGAAGCATAGGATAGGAGGTGTGGAATGTTAAATTATAGTAAATTTTTAAGTGCTGGACATCAGTAACAATAGCCATTTAGAAAGAACAGCCTGCTGGATGGATACAGGACCATAAATGCATCCAGGAGTTCCTGACCTTAATGCCAATTCAAGTTATTTACTGCTCCATTCTGAGATCCCCTCTCTGGGCAGGTCTGGTTTTGATGCTTTCCAAGAGGCGTGTCAAGACAAGGTGGCTCTGTATGGCCGGGCATCTGCATCCTGTGGGCCAGGAGGTCACAGAACATGATGATTTGCAATTTTGCTATATCATGGAATCACATGGGGTGACCTCTGGAGATCATCTAGTCCAACCCCCTGCCAAAGCAGGTCCACCCAGAGCAGGTCCCACAGGAACGTGTCCAGGCGGGTTTTGAGTGTCTCCAGAGAAGGAGACTCCACCATCTCCCTGGACAGCCTATATTTAGCAGAATTACTGAGCAATTCTAGAACCAAAATGAGCTTTCAGCTTTGGAAATTGCCAATCTGCTGGTGCAAATGTTGTCTTTCTTCAAAATTAGGTGGGTGTGGCGTGCCACAGCTGATCAAACCTCATTTAGATGGTTTACAGAAGGTGGAGCTTGTAGCAATGGACTTGCTTAATCCTTGCTCATTGGTACCCTATCTCACTGGCATCTTGTCCTCAGGTTTTCAGGTCCTGGGCTTTTGCACTTTTTTTTTTTCTTTTAAGTGGGGGAGGAAAGTCTTTGTTGTAGTGTAGAACAAGGGAAAAAAAAATGTGTTGTAAATATGTTTACCTTCATTTCACTGAGATGCTCTTGCATTTCCAGGCTTTGAACTGAGAAATCTCAATTTGAAAAGAGCTGCTGCTGTGATGCCGAGGAGGTGCTTTCTGCTAGTCCTGTGAGCGCTCGCCGCCTCACGGTTGAATTATACACCTCTGAAGAATCAAATTTGCACTTGTTTCTGAGAGCCCGACAGAATTCTTCTTCAAAGATCCTTTTTGTATCAAAGCTGAAAGGAGGCGCCTTGCCTGTGATTTCAGCGCTTCTGCTGCGGGTTTATCAAAAAGTGTTTAAACAGAGAGGGGAAGGAACGATGCTGGGAACTGAGGAAGGACTTTTAATAGTAAGAGTGGAGGCAACAGAAGCAGAGGGACAGAGGGTATAAAGGAACCCTTGTTGTCCACAGCAGCAGCCTCTCCAGCCTTTTTCCAGGGATATGCCATCAATAAAGCAGCAGTTGAGTTCCTCATTT